CAGGGCCTGGAGCCTGCTTCAGATTCTGTGTCTCCCTCTCTCCCTGCTCCTCCCCTGCTCTCTCTCTCTCTCTCTCTCTCAAAAATAAATAAAGATTTAAAAAATAATAATAATAAAAATTAAAAAAATAAAAATAAGCAAGCGAGAGAAACTAGACAAAAATAAAATAAAGGCAGAAATGAGTTTGCATAAGGTACAATAAGAATAGCTTCTAAGTACTGAGCCCTTACCAGGCACCAGGCACCAGGCACCAGGCACAGGGCTGGGGCTTCACGGTCCTAATCTCATTTCATCGTCCAAGAGCCCTAAAAGGTGGGTACCACTGTCAGAGAAAAGGGAACAGAGCCTCTGAAAGGCGAATAGACCTGCCCGAAGTTACCAGAGGAAATGAAAGTAAGAAACAGGGGCAAAGGCAGTGCCCAAAACCCAGGCAGTCTCAGCGGGTGGGGCCACAGACCAGCACCCCATTTCACGGCACAGCACAGAAAACCCGTGTGGACCGGGGTGCTAGGCATGGAGAACACCAGCTGCTTCCCTACACTGGCTCTTTGCACACCAAAGACTCTGCAGGATGACTCTCTTTGTCTTTCAAACCAAGTTCCTGGATTCCTGGCAATAATCTCTCTCATCTGTTCCTTAGAGTGGGAACAGTAAGTCTCTACTTAGAAGTACTTTTATTACACCTAGATAAGAAAAAGAACTTGAAAAGTGACCAAAGGAATGGGCATTCACAGGTGTGTGTGCACACGTGTGTGTGTGTGTGTGTGTGTGTGTGTGTGTGTGTGTGTGTAGCAAGGAGGAATTTCCTACAAAGAAGCAAGAACTGGCTTGCCAAAAACCAGTGGAGCGATGTCTTCAAAGTTCTAAAGGAAACTTATTTCATTCCACTCCATCCTACTGGTGTGTGTGTGTGTGTGTGTGTGTGTATGTGTGTGTAAACTGTTTTACCAATAACAGTAGTAGAAGAAACCCTTGTTTTTAAGTAGTCAAGTTTCAAATCATCTAAGTAACCAGCCGCAATTCAAAATGCCAATGCCCAGCCACCCATTCATCCTGTTCATTCAACAAAATACGTACTGAGCATCTACGACAGGCCAAGCCTGTGCTAGATACTGCAAATGCAGGAATGAACAAGACAACACAGAGCCCCTGCCCTCGTGGAACTTACATTCTAGTAGAGAAGCTGGAGATTCAACACTTTATCACACAGGTCAGCGTTTAATTACAGACTATGCTAAGTGCTATGGGGAGAAGCAGGAATATATCAGGGAGTCCTGGCTTAGGCTGGGGCATCAGGAGAGAATTCCCTATAGAAGGGATATTTGAACTGAGCTCTGAAGCATGAGTGGAAATTAATCAGAAGAAAGGAGGTAGGGAAAGAGCATAACAAGCTGAAGAAAGAGCAGATGCAAAGGCCCTGAGGCAGGACAGCATGGCAGGAACACAGAACGGGTAGCAGGAGCCACTAAGGCAGGCCTTGCAAGCCAGCGATTGACAGATCTTCACACTAAGCCCCATAGGAAACACTGAAGCAGAAAGTGACATGGTCTGTTCTGCATTTTTAAAAGATCACTCTAAATGTCACGTAAATGGAAGAGGCAAGAAGGAGAGATCAGCTAGGAAGATACGGCAGGGATCCAAGCAGAAGGTGACAGCGATTTGGTCTAACAAGATGGTGATAGAGAGAATGGGGAGAAATGACAGACAGGCCTAGAAATGTATCCTAAAATGCCCACCCCTAGCTAAAGGCTCTCCTGTGTCCTTCACTCCCCTCCCCTCCATTGTGTTATGTGAGTCCAGCCCAGCATCCTGGGGAGAGGGGAGGAAAATAAAGGGTCATGACCTTACCTTGCCCCCAGCCTGGGGGACGCCCTCCAGGCAAGGCATTCCAGCCAGGAGAGGAGGTGGGCAATGGGCCGGCTGCCCCGCTGGGGCCCATCTGAGGTTCGCAGGCCATGGCAGAGAGCCAGCTGGGTTTCTACTTCCCCATCTTGGAGCTGTGGTTCATTCTGGAGCGGCCAACTCAGCTTCACTTGCCTTCAGAAAACAGCACAGGAAAGAACTTCAGGCCTGGGCAGGCAGGGCTTCTTGGCCTTGCCAAGGCCAAAGTCATCCCAAAACCAGAGAGAGCCACCAGGAGTCTTTCCACTGACTTTGCTCTTTCCGTCTTGCTGAGGAACATTCTCAGGAGTGAAGAGGAGGAAATAAAACCCTCCAAGGGAGAACTGAGAACTTCCCTGTGGTCTTGGGTCTTCTCTAGCTCAGACACATCTAGACACTCACTTGGAACTCATGAAATGACCAGGCCCCACTCCCAGGCATCTGGGAGTTCTGTTCCCTTATTCAGAGCACCCAGGCAACCAGGCACAGAACCAGTATATTCATCATGGGGAGCCTTATTTATACAAAGGATCTCAAACAGCTTTCCAGAAGACATTGCAAAATACAAATGAGAAAAAAAAAAATCAGGATGGTAGGAAATACAGAAGAAAGAAAGAAAGAAAGAAAGAAAGAAAGAAAGAAAGAAAGAGAGAAAAGAAGGAAGGAAAGAAGAAAAGAAAAAAGGAACAAAGGAAGGAAAAAAGAAAGAAGGAAGGGAGAAAGAAAAGAAGGAAGGAAGAAAAGAAGGAAGGAAGGAAGGAAGGAAGGAAGGAAGGAAGGAAGGAAGAAAAGAAAAGAAAAGAAAGAAAGAAAGAAAGAAAGAAAGAAAGAAAAGAAAGAAAATGAGAACCATGAAGAACGAAAACAACCAGATATTCAGGCAATCAAGGTCCCCAGCAGAGGCAGTGGAAGTTTCTGCTGAAGAGCATGGGCTCCAGGTTCAGACTAACCAGTTTAAACAACGGTTCTACTACCTACGAGTTAAGTAAACTTGGGCAAGTGGTTTAACCTCAAAGAGATTTAGCTCCCTATCCTCAAACAATGGTACCTTCCCCACAAGGCTGTCACGAAGAATCGGTGCGGTAATACATATAAAGGGCAGACAAGGGCCTCTGGAACAAAGGACACATCCCACAAATACTAGCTCTCACTGTTGCTGCTTTGAGGTTTGGCACAGTTGTCACGCCTGAGCCAAGAATTTGGTTTTGAGCTTCCAGGTGGCCAAAGCTAAAACAGAAATACTGTCAGTTAAATAGTTCCTGTTCTCTATTAGGAGATGAGAAACAGGAGGGTGAAGAAGGCAATGCATTCTCCTGGCATTTAGCGCTAAAAGACCTTGGAAACACTTCCAAAGTCTCAGGAGTTGGTCAGTGACAGCACAGTGGGCATGGCCATGACCCTAAGCCACTGTCGTCAACAGAGCAGCAATGTCCTTCATGGGGATTCTCTTGAAGCCAAAGCAGAGTCCTCAGTGCCACACACTGGCTGGAGCCCGCACTTACTCTCTCTGTGTCTGCCGGGGGCCCTGAAAATTACCCATCACCAAGGAAAACCTTGCCTACGTCCCTGGGATGACACCCCAGCCTTGCTAACCATCTTGGTGAAAGTCCAGTAGCGTCGGGTTTTGCTGCCATGGTTCCTGATGCTGGTGAAAACAAGTGTCCCCTGTCGGGGGCACACATCTGCTTAATTCCAAGCTGGCCCGAGGGTGGATCGCCACTGCTCAGATCTCCAAAAGAGGGGAGGCTGACTCCCACACCCTCACCACCCTCCGTTTCTCTCGGTCTTTTAAAAAGGACCGGCTACATAATTTGTGGGGCCTCCTGCATAATGAAAATGTGGGGTCCCCTTTTCAAAAATGACAAAGAATTTCAAGATGGTCACAGCAGAGCATTAACCCAGGTTGGGGGCGGGGGGCTTTCTAAGTGGGGGGCCATGTGTCTGAGCAGGCTGCAGGCACCTCAAGTCAGCAGGGACTTTAAGCTCCAGAAGATCACTTGGGGTCACTAATCTGCCCTGTACCCAGCTCTGAGGCCACAAAGTAACAAAATGTTATGAAAAGGCAATGACTTGAATACCCAAGAGCCTGGATTTGAATCCCTGCTCAGCCACTCACATGCTCTGTGGCAAGGTTCTTAATTCCCTGAGACTTGCTGTCTCATCTGTAAAATGGGAAGAGGGAATCCTCCCTGGCATGGCTGCTGCAGGGATGACAGAAAGAGATACAGGCATGACATCCAGGACCCTGCTCACCAAGCAGGCCTCTTTCCTCAGAAAGAGAGAAAACTCAGAGTCAAAGATATAAAGAGACCTGCCCATGACAGGGTGGCTGGAAGATGTAGGTAGGACCAAGAGGGGAACCGAAGTCCAAGCGCATAATTCCTAGGCCCTGAGCCTCAGGACCCAGGTCTGGCCATCTCTCAGCCTGTTCTTTAATGCACCTTAAAGGAAAGAAAAGAAAAAAAGACAGAGAGAGTGGGTCCAGGGAGGCTATGTCTCCCAGGCATCATGCACAACAAATTCCTGCTGGCTTCTGAGATCCTGATCCCCCCCCCACCCCCACTAATGCCTGCCCACAGCAGGCATTCCCAAATACTGCTCTGCATTAATCAGACTATGGCACCACCCCTTACTTCCTTCCTCTTATCTTACATGCCCCAGAAGCACAAAACCAACAACAACAGCCCAAGGAAGTCTGCCCTGCACCTGGCAATTTCTGAAGCCCTTCCCCATCTCCTCTGATCATCTCCTGGGCCCATGAGGCGAACATAAACCTTAGACCCATTTCCCAGACCAGAAACCCGGGGCCGTCATAGCTAGCAGCCTGCAGCCCAGAGAAGCTGTTCAGGAGTCTCAGAAAGGCCTGTGGGACCCAGGAGCCTGCCTTCCCTCCTCCAGGCAGGAGGGACCACCCACAAGCTGGAGCTGCCCAGACACTCTTCCCCTATGGAAAGTTTCCATTAGTTGCAAAATCCCACACCTTGGCATTGTCTTTGAGAAGCAATCCCAGCATCCCAGTTGTCCCAATTAGCTTCCCACAAAGTCTCTATCAGAAGTCATTCATTTGCCTGATAATGTGTAATGGTTAAAAGGTACCTGTATAGTTGTACCATTTCCCTCCTGTGTGACCTGGAGCAAGTCACTTAACTTCTCTCTGCCTCACTTTCTTCACATGTAAAGGGTGATAATAATGGTAACTGAGACTAAAACTGTTTGTGCATGTAAATCACTCAGAGCAGCACAGGGCATATAGGCATCACCGAAGGAATACGCCTATCACTATTTTTACTCCACCAACATTCCCTAAGAACCTTGAAATGTCAGGCCCTGTGCTTTCTTGACTCTAACACCAAAAGTAAAATCTTAAATCCTTGGTCACCCCTCCCTGCTGGGGAATCCCATATGGTGGGAAAGTTGAACTCAGAAAGGGAAATAAATAATGACCAAACTAGGCAGGCAAAGGGAGGAGGCAGGACATGGGGGGCCTCAGAACCCTGGGGTGGGGGAAAGGCTTTGCAGAGGTGGCGGTGAGAGAAAGGGCTGCCAAGCAGAGAGAGGTACAGACCAGAGGCCAGGATGGGCCCCACCAGGGCCCTCTGCCCTCACCCTGCAGCCCCTGGTCCAACCTGGAGGCTGCAGAGGGTGGAAGGGGTTTTAGCGACACTAGCCCAGGGCTGACATGGACCCATCACCTTCCAGCATGTCCTGGGCTCAACCATTCTGCTCAGCCCCGCACCAGCCCTAGAGGAACCTGGGAGAGAGGCCCAGACACCAGGGTGGAGGCAGAGCCAGCGAATAAGCACAGCCCTGGGGCTCCAGCAACTAACTGGTCATCCACTCCCCAGTTTCCTTAGTTTCCTTTGCTGATGCTGCATTTTAACCAGAACTTCCAGTCATACGTCTTTTTCTAATTAGGTGGTGAGCCCCTACAGACGAAGAGAATCCTTAAGTCCCGCTGAGCAAAGGTCTCCATTTGTGCAGACAAAATGCCCAGGCTCCCCAGGAACCTTGTGCCTCACTGAGGTGGACGAGAGAGAGAGAGAGAGAGACAGAGAGAGAGACAGAGAGAGAGA